CGCCCGCCTTCCATTGACACGCCCACCCACATGCTAACGCCCCGCTAGTAAAATTATGCGTATTTAGGTCGTTGACTATATCCGTAGCGTGTCGTATCCTGCCGCTTGTTGCTGCCATAAATTCACCAAGGCTCTGTGTGTAAATGTGCCAATGCGTTTCGGCTAAAGCTCAAAGGACTCGCCTTTCTCCTCCCTCGTCCTGCACGCCTCAAAGTGTGCCAATATTGACCCTTCTGTTTTGTCGTCGCGCTTTTATTATGCTAATATTTTTTAGGGGCATTGCCAAGATTTATTGAAATTACTGCGGCGCGCATATAAAGCTGCCAACTGGAAGCTGGAGGCTGCCAACCCATTGGAAAGGTGCAGGTGGGTGGAGGGGGTGGTCCACGCGGCGTATGAGGATCAATTAAAAAGCCATTTAATGTGCAGCTTGTTGCTTGTTGCATGTTGTGTTGCTGTTGTATGTTGCATGTCATCCAGTGTTGCATAATTGACGTTTTTTTCGTGCAATTAAAACAACTAATTGGCAGCAAAAACTATTGTTTCAGCAAACTGCAACAGCTGTTGGCTTGGCAAGCCAGCACAACTATAAAAAAAAAGCGACACGCTGAAAAATGAGCTGCATAAATTGGCGCTTACAATTTGTAGGGTGGACAGGAGCAGCGGAAAAAGGAGCTTAAAATTTAATTTTGAATTCTTATTTTAGATATACATATATATTAATCTTTATACAACCTGCAAGAAAAGCTGAAATATTATATTTTAGTATTTAATAAATTAGGATAGCAAAATTAAAAACTAAAAGCCTAATCAGAATACAATTATTTCTAATATTATCACGGCTACATTTGTAAATTTTTAAAGTCTACAACTAAGAAGAAAAATATTAAGAAGTGAAAGACGACATGAAAATTAACATAATCTTAAGTAACTATATTATTTTATTTTCCATAAAAAAGCGAATTCACATCTTTAAATTTACAGGTCCACCTGTTTGGGGTTTCAATGAGCTTACACTTATTTTATACGGCATTCTTTCATTTGTATACTCTTCTGCCTGTGGCAGCCATCCTGTTGCATGAACAAAGCGCCTCAACGTATGCCACACACACACACATGTACCCAGCTCACACACACACACAATCAGAGGCACAACAAATAACAGCCACAGCCGCACAGTATTTCGTCCTTTTACCACATTTTCACTGGCTAGAAAGAATTGGGCAGGTGTTGCTTTTGTTAGGCTAGGCTGGGTTTTTATGTGAGACAGGTGTGATGCCACGCCCATTGTGGCGCCCACAGCCAGCCGGCGAAATTGTTATGATTTTACAACAATATTATTTTTCCATCAACAATATCAGCAAAAATCAATCAAATTCAATTAAAATACCGCCGAAGGATACATAAACTGTCAGAGCTGCAATATTAAAAAAAAAAATAAAAATAATAAATTATATAAAACAAAAATTAATTTAAATGCAAAATTCAACCAAAAAATAAATAATATAAAATTATTTTAAACAAAGCAGCGTTATTTAAAATGCGCATTAAAATTGAAATTAAGAGATAAACAAGGTAAATAAATGTAAATTTTCTATAAGCCCAAATCAATCAATTATGCGGATAGATGCAGGTGTGGGCTGATCAGTTGTGGTGTTGTAAAAGCTCTAAAAACACACACGCACACACACACGTACACACACACACAATCGCATCAAATTCATGAAGAGCAAATACTTGGTCAAAACAAAAATGATGGCGAATTTATGTTTTATACCAAGTTTATTGTCTATATGTATATGTATATATATTTATATATATTCATGTTTGTATAATGTTTGCTATATTATTAGTATGTGTGTGTGTGTGTATGTTTTTTTGCGTTGGTGCGTTTATGCGTGTGTTGCGTTTACATTTACACAAGTGCAGAAATTCCCAAAACACAAATCCTAAAAAAACATTTGTTACTTTTTCTGAAACGTTTTATACAATTTGTGGGCGAGGACCAGTGGGCTTTGGGTTCGACCACACAACCATTGAGGCAGGCCAAAAGAGTCAAGTGGTATTGGTGTGTGCGTGCGCTTGTGTGTGTAAGTTTTTGTAACCGTGTTGACATAAGCGTAGTTAGCTCAAAACTTTAAACCTGAAAAGGGACGAGGAGCAGGTATACATTCTAAATCGTCATGATTGTTGTAGCTGTTAATCTTAAAGAAAACTTTTAAAAAATCACAAAACTAAGCTTTAGAGCTTTCGGAATAAAGTTAAGAAACATATTTGGCAGGCTATTGTTATTTGACCCACTGAAGACCAACTATTTTAAACTCTTTGGTGGTTTATTGGGGATTTATGTTGGTTTGATTGAAAGAACCAGCTCTCTTATTTGTGTATTTCAAATACCTATTCTAATCATAAAAAACATCAATCTAAGACGGCTTTAAACAAAAAACTTTATTGGCTAAACTTCTCCTTTCTTTAAGAGCTATGCTAGCCAAAGCTAAACAGTTAGTTTTATATAAAAACAAGCCCAAAATATAAATACAAAAGACAAACCAAGCAAAAACCCTTTCTAAACACAGTGTGACTACGCCCGTTTTGTAAATGTCATCAGTCCGCCTTTATTTTGCTAACCAAAAATTGTCAGCCAAAGTATTTGCTGTGCGTTAGTGCTGTTTATTCTGGGCTGAACCTGGACCTAGCCATGGGCTTGGACCTGGCCAGGGGGTGGACGTGTGTTTAGTTTGTAGCGCTTGTTGAGAATAAATGTATAACATTTTATAACTATTCATGCTCGTAAATTTGAGATTATTTTGTGGTATATTTAAATTTAGCCACTCGCACACACACATGGGAGCCACTGGCCAGCAAATTGAATTAATGTGAATTTAGCGGTTTGGCTGCCAGCGCCTAGGAAAGCACTTGAAAAGCGTCGGCTAAATGCAAGTCTAAAGGCAGTGCCTTTCAACTTGAAAGTAATTAGAAAGTAAAGCGGCTACAAATTGTCCGAAATTCTCGGGGGGCATTGATTGATTTCCAAGGAAAGCAGCAGAACGTCGAGTGCCACTAAGCGCAGCGAAGTGCAACCGAAAATAGACGCAAGTTGAATGCATTTTCGAGCCTCCGGCAAATGAAAGCAAAAACATATGTAGACAAAAACAAATGCTCCTAATGACTGCGGTGACACTTTTGTGGAAGTGCAAGCACAAATACATTAACACACGCACAGAGAAAGAAAGAGAGAGAGAGAGTGTGTGTGCGTGTATGCTGCATACCTGTGCATGTTGCGCTGATAAAATTAGAACGTGAAAGGCGCTGCAGTTGACAGCGTGAAAATTTGTGAACTTAGAACAGGAAAAGGCGGCGGGATGCCGTCGCTCAGCTGCGACAGCGGACAGCTTAATACGCACACACATACAGCCAAAGATGCAGCTAAAGATACATATACATATACAGATACTCGCCGCCACAGCTTCAGTTTCATGCAGTCACAGCTAGCTGCATGTATAAAAACCAAAATAGCCGCCTCATTATATTTGTTGTTTTGGCATTTGGCCTGTCGTGTTCGAGTGATTGAAGCTGCCATAATAAACAAATAAAAAAAAGCCAAAAGCCAATGCAGCTAAAGAGCTAAGATACCCTATAAAGCATTCAGCGTTTGCAAATATCTGACGTATCTCTTGTTGATAAAGATATACGATAAGCAGCGCTGAGATAAAATTAAAGTCAATTTACATGCGCAACAACTAACTGCCAATCATGCTTATATATGTTTAAATACACAATATATACACTGAGAAAATTTACTATTCGCCAATCAATGTAAAAAAGTATTCTAAGAGTCTCTGAATTAATTGACTATTTATAATAAAAAGCGAAATGCCCATATGCAACAAGTAATAATATTTAAAATATTAATAAGATTATATTTGTATTTCTTAATGTTTAAACTCTAAATATATTCGCTGCCTTTTATAACCAAATTAATAAATCTTAAAAAAATAAGGAATTTTTGACATCAAAACGATTTTTGACATATATTGGAAAGAAACAGTGCCTGAAATAACTAATTATATTATTTAAGACTATGTCATTATCAATGTACTTTATATTTAATTTTATTTTTTGCTTATATTTTTATTTTTCTTATTAACTTTAATTTTTTGATATATTTAGACTGCACATCGGAAACATTCTTCAGGGCACGAACAAACTTGAACAAAGAAAATTGTACGAAAAAAAATTGAGTTTTCAAAAAAGTGTAAATAATATTTTATATAGAAGAAAGTTGATTACTCTTACTAACATATACAGTATCTACAAGGATATTTGATGTTCGTGCTTTTTCATGTGCATACTGCCACGCTATATACACCTTGCGCTTGCCTTTACAGAGTATATTCAAAAGCTGTTCAAAATGCAGAACTTTACGGGCAGCCCGTTTTACCCCAGAGCTGAGACTGAGTGATTCTCTCTGTACATATGACTAATAATGCGGGTCATATATTTAGATACAGACAACTCTTTGCGGCTGTTTGCATGAGAATGAACCTAAAAAGTACACAAAAAATTAAAATATTTTTCAAATTTTAGCTAATACAATTAAATATATTTAATACAAAATGTATTTCTTTTAATTAAAGTTTATTTTATAATTGAACTATTCTATTTGAGCTAACTGATAAAAGTATCTACCAAAATAAAACAAAAACCAATTTGACTCCATTTGCTTCTAGATAGAAAAGAAAATTTTCCCCTGTTTCTAACCAAAGCACAAGGCATGAGCATGCACTTATACATATACACACGTATGCAAGTGTTTACATGTGCATGTGTGTTTGTGTGTGTTTACAGGCGATCATCTATCTCGCTCTACTCGCAACGTTTGCCACACAGCCGAAGCAGCGACGTTGTCGTCGTCGTCGTCGTTGTCGTCGTCGCCATCCGCTGGGTTGGGTATTGGACTTAACTTGGGGACTTGACTCTGAGGCCGTCGTCTGTGCTGTCGCTGCGATCAGTTGAGTTTTGTGCGTTGTGCGGTTAAGTAGCGCGTTCTGCTCCGGTTCCCCTCCAAGCTCACACAGTGAGATCAATCAGTGCACCACACACACACACACATACACACAAAAAGTCAAGTAGTAGAGAAGATCTCCACATCCAGGCTCAGATTCAGGTCCAGGTTCCATTCAGTTGACTTCAGTTTAGTTGAGTTGCTAAGGAGTTGTCCCGGCCACGCCTGCATCCCACGCATTAAATTGTTACATTAAAGCCCCATAAATCAAAATGAGAGAAATTGTGCATCTGCAGGCTGGACAATGCGGCAACCAGATTGGCGCTAAGGTAAGTCTCGCTTACTTTTTATTTTTTCGATTTTTATTTATATTTATTTGTCAGTTCTTTTTGTCGATTTTTATAAACTTTTTTCTTGGTTTTGTTTTATTTTGTGGCTTTTTGGCAAGCGCAGCTAATTTATGCACATTGCCCGAAATCGTTTTTCAATGAGTTTCCAAATTGATCGTAACTCAGAGTCAACGTCGCCGCCGCCTTTTACAGCGCATTCAGCAATTAAAGCAAAAGAAAATTAACGCAAAAAAACGGCCAGCGAATAAACATAAAGAAAAGAATAAAAAAATTACAAGACAACAAAAAAAAAAACTAAAACTTAAATCAAATAAAAAATAAATGAGCGGCGCGACGTAGCGAAGAAAATGAAATTTGTTTGGGCTTTGCAGGCACCCGATATGCCCTTTGTTTAAAAGTCAGCCAACAACATGCATTGTGATTATGGCAGAGAGTGGAGACCCAGTAGGGGCCAGCCCCTTTAATAAATGAGGCGGAATTATACTGGTCTAATATGGGGCATTACTGCAATTGTTTCCGCGGAACGTTTTTCTTTCTGCTGCATTTCGCGGATGCCGAAAACCTCTTGAATTATCATTGTGGTTGTATCTTTTCGCTTTGTTGAGCTTTCCTTTAGGCGGCAACCGCAAGAGCCGCACACAAATATGCCATTCAGGTGCCACAAAAGGGGGAAACTTTAATTCATGAGAGCTGCAAATCATAAAGGCGGCAGCCAAAGATTATTGAAGTCGGTTTACAGAAACTAAAAGTTCATTTTATAATGAAACTCAATTAAAAAATAACTTGTCACATCATTTAAAAAATATCTTTATATTAATTAAAAGGCGCATTTATAATATTTTATTAAAAAGTATTCCTCGAAAACTTTGCACTCCTTAATATATTTATATATATTTATGTCATAAATAATTTACCTTAATTTTAGAGGAATAGTATTATGATTAAAAGGGAAAATCTCTTTTTTTGAACTGAAGCTGAAAAAAATTAACACGCAAACAAAAATGTGCAAAATGTTGTGTCAAAAGAAAAGCTGAAGTTTTTTTTCAAGATTAATGAGAGTCTACTTGGATATTAAACTTTCTAAAAAAAAAAGCTTTCTTTACATAAACAAGCCATAACTGCGCTGTATTCATGTGGAACTAAAAACCTAATGTTTGGTTCCAGTTGGTAAAAATCGGCTGAAAATTGCTTAAAAAACTAGCCATAAAACAGATGTCCATATAAATGTGAATAGAATGTGTTGAAAGGCAACTATTTTCGCTGCAAATTCAGGTGTTCGCTACGGGGCGGGACAAAAAGATATAGAGCATATGCCAGATAAAAATATGAAATACATTTTAGTTAGTTGCATTGTTAATTGGCGGCTTGTTAACTAGTTAATCAATTGTAATTCGAGCAATTAAAAGCATGTACTGCAATTAGCTGCCCTGCCATCAATTATTTGCAATGGGCTCGCATTGGGGCAACGCCAGTCGGTTAATCAATATAGCCAGCCAATCAGGCAGTGTGGCAGCAAGGCAGCGAGGTAGCCAAGCAACGAACGTGCCACGGCGCGCTGCACACCGAAAAACCTGACGCTGCCTGCTGCCACTTGACGCATTATTCTCTTGTTGTTTCTTTTATTGTAGTTGTTGTTGTTGTTGTTGTTGTTGTAGCTTTGGCAATTTTTGGCAACATGCAACCGGTTTAATTTTTCCAGTAGAGGCATTGACATGTGTAGCAGGGGCGCTCGGAGTCGGAAATCAATGTCAATGCTTTGCCTGAATTCCGATTGCGATTGCGGCTCTGAAAGTGTGTCACGCTGCACGAATGCTGATAATAGTCAATCAAGCGATGATTAAACTATAAGCACAATTAAATTAAAGTAAAGCCAAGCAAAAGATAAGCATGCGTAGATTTTTTATATATATTTCATTCGTTCTTTGTTATTCTTTTTTTCTTTTTTTTTTTTTGCAAAACACTCAAATGACTCAATTGAGATTCGCGATTTGTGGGAAGTGGCTACAACAGCTGATGAGGTGACCAGGGGGGCCCAGAGAGTTGGGTCAGTGTCGCTTAATTTAACGCTAACAGTTTGTAGTTCTCAGAAATTCGGCATAGTAATGGTTTTATGGAGCTGTTTATATAGTGTATATATATATATGTGTTTATTTTCGCTGTGTACTTGCCCCTGAATGAGAAACGTAGACTGTTTATCTAAAGCAGACGCTGGCGTTGAAGCCGACTTGGTAATTTGAGTGAACCGTTGGTTTCGCATTACCCAAGAGATTTGAGTACAGCAAAAGTGTTGTGTATATGCAGGCAGAACAGCTGAGTGGACACTTCAAATGTGTGGCAACAACAACTGTGGCAGCTACCTAAGCCAAACCCACATTTTCTGTTTAAATTCGAATTTGGAATCGCAATCGGGCATCGGGCATCGGGCATCAGGCATCAGGCATTGGGCATCAGGCAAACCGCACAAGTGCACAAAGGAAATGACTCAGAATCGATATGGTAACTGGGCGCGTTCCCAACAGGGAGCTGGGCAAATTGTAGGATTGGCTGCGGGGCACAAAATTTGTGGGCAGCGACCCGTCTACAGTTACAGGATAGGGGCGCTTATGAATTTCGAATTTCCGTTTACCAGACGATAAATGCATAATAAATAATCAGCATAAGGCTCTATATTATATGCACAAATTATAAATTCATAAATTTCATATATAACCATATGCATACATATATATATATGTATGTATATAGTCAATGCACTGGCAAAGTCAACAAACTGAAGGCCTCTCTTTATTCTGAAAGATTTATTATCGCCCTCGTCTGACTTTCAAGAAGCAAAAACAAGAACAACAGCAAAACAGCTGCTGAGCGAAGACAAATGCTTCTGATAGGCCTGGCAGCAGGGCGGAGGGGGCTGTTAGGTTGGATGTCTTCAAAGTTCTTTGATGCCCAAATGCGCCGTGGCATCATCGTCATGTGAAAATGCATTTTTGCATATTTTTCAAGGGCTGCCGGAAAAGCTGTTGCCAAAGCTGCAGGCGATCGGTGCACAGCTGCAGACGGCTGGACTTAAGACTAGTGCTTCAGACGGGCTCCGGCTCCAAAGTTCATGCCCGAGTGATTTCAAGTGGCACAGACTGAAAGACAGCTACAGCGCGTTGGGGCAGCTCGGCAGACATGCAACACTTAATGAGGGCGTCGGCAGCTGATCGCATGTGCACAAGGGGCGGGGTAAGGGGGGCGTGGCTCGGCAAAGAGGGCAGCATTTACAACTAATTGGAAGTCTCTAAAGTTTCTAGTTGCCTGTAGCAGTGTGGCAAGTGGCAGCAGAAGACAGCAGGAGACAGGCAACAACGCAGCGACTTGGCAATAAATTAAGATTTTTTTTCATACTAGACTTTTCTCTGGGCTTTGCAAACAAGACGGGAAAGAAGAAGAACCGACGGAATTTCCACTGCACTTGCAGTCAGAAATTAACTGTAAAATTTAGCTAATAGAATAGCAGCTAAATGGGTTTTAAGCGTGAACATTTTAAGCAGCTACAAAATTAATAAAAATTAATTATTCATTTTGAAGTTTCGGACGAAAGTTTCGTTAGATTAAAATACTTTTGAACAAGAGCATTAATCATGCTTTTTTGCGTGTAAATCTATTTTAGTATTGCGTTTCATTCTTATCAGTATTTTCGCAGTCTATATCTAAATAATTTCCTGAGTAAATCTCGAAAGCTTGAATCAGTTTGAGAAAGTGTTCTGATTATTTTTGTATTTTTATTTTTATAAATATTTTGTCTGCATTTTTCTTGAATCAGAGAAACGATGTGTTTTTTCAGATTCGTGATTCAGATTTAACTTCGACATCTTTCAAAAAAACAATTCCCAATATCCAACGAAGATTTATCGCTCATGAATTCAATTTCAATTCATTATTTCGAAATACTTCGAAACAATTTAAATTTTAGTTCATTAAATCAGAAAGTAAATCATTTAAATATTCCTTTTTATAAACATTTTTACACGCTTTTAAAGCTGTCTGATATTTATTTTAGACTCGTTTTCCACAGAGTGTTTATTCTGATATGCCTTAAAAATCAATGCCCGATCATTTATCACTTGTCAATTTAATGCATGCATATCTATGAAAATATATTAAACTATATTTCGAAATACTTATATTATAATATATCCAAAATAAATATTTCTATCATATATTCCTTTTTATAGAGCATTCTAAATTGTCTGATAATTATTTTAAATAATATACTAAGCACGAAAATTGTTTTAGATTCGTTTTTCTTAGTGTTTCTAATGCGATATACCTTAAAATAAAACAATTCCCGGTATCGGTCGATCATTTATCACTTTTTACGGCAAAGAATTTTCAGCATTTCCCTTTGGACATGCTTTTTCGTGTGCGTTTAATAATTGTTTTCCCTGCTTTCGGGCAACGATCGTGCCGCTGATAAGTCAGTGTCCAAGCTCTTTAATTGACCCGCTTCACGTTCTCACAATTTGTAATATCAAATCCAAAGCATTCAGGAGAGTATGACGCAGCTAAAACCAATTTACGCAGCTGGACTTGAATGGGATATCCCCCCTACCCTACCCTCCCCTGCACTCCATTTCCACAAGCAATCACTGCAGTTAACCGAAAAAAGGCAATTTCCCGCAACAATCAAAAGCATCATCAAAAGGAAAAATCCGTAAAAAAAAACGGGCAAGAAAAATTAGTTGAAAGTAAAGCGATCGCTGGGGCAGAGAGAAGAAAGAGTAGAAGACATGAAAAACGACTTTTCACTTCAACAGTTTTGTGTGCTAATTTATTTTTGTTGTTGCTGTTGTTGCCCCTTTTTGTTGCTGCCCCAAGCCAGTTGCATGATTTGGTTGTTTGTTTGTAAGCGCTCGTCCGGCATATAAACTGCGCTTTATTGTTGCTGCTGCTGCTGCTGCAAGCTTCATAATTGCAACGGCCACACTCCAATTAAATTTGATGATCTTGCGGAGATTGTACATGTAGTTGAGCTGCCTTTCAAATAAACAAAAGCAAACGCTGGCGCAGACGCGAACGCAAACGCCATCGACTGCCAATGCGCCTAGACTGGAGCAGGCCCGAACTGAGACAAGGCACTGTTTGGGCTGGTAAACAGCCAGCGGGGCACACGTCAAGTTCAAGTGCCAAAGGGAAACGAGACAGACAACAATGTGCGCATAGAGCACTGAACAACTAAGGCATTAGGAACTGAGATGGGGAACTGGCAATTGCCAACTGCCAACTGGCGACTGGGTGGAGGCAATCAGCCAAGCCAAGGAGCTTGGAGCTGGGAACGCGCCACTTCAAGCGATAACATTTTTATTATTTCCTCGCTGTCGTTTTGTTTATTTCTGTAGCTATTGGAACTTCATTCCAATTGGGCACATTTTTGTATCTCATTGTAGCGACGATTTATGCGTTGCGCTTCAATGGTAAATTTTCGTTAGATTGAAAAACTAATGCGCACCATTTTTGGTCAGAGTAGCCGAATTCGAAGCGGCTCTTGTTAAACGCAGCAAAACATTTGCAGCGCGCTTCCGCAATTAACGCTTAGCGCGAGGGCAACATCAATGAAAATTCTTGTATCTGAAAGATACGCGAGTATCTTTTTGATTTGCTTGAGCTGCGAACGGACCGAGTGTGTGTGTGTGGCTGGCTGGCTGCCTCCTAATGATGTTGTCGATGTCTACAACTGGCGTCTGTTGGGTTAATTTAGTAACTGCGAGTTGCCGCCTGGGTCGTTGGCCTGCAGTTCAGCTATGAGTCAGCAACAGCAACAGCAGCCGCGGCAGATACATTTGTATCTGTATTGGTATCTGGCCAGTGCCCACAGGCAACGTGCAACGCCTCGGGCAGTGCTATTTTTAACACTTTCGCTGCATAAGGTTGCGCGTTGCACGTTGCACATTGCACCCCAGGAGCGTTGCTGTGCGGCAAACACATTCAGAATGAAGACTCAACTTGGAAATGTCCCATGCCGCGCGACACGCTGCACTGAAATATATATTCAAGTGAAAAATGAAAATGTGAAAAACAAGAAAAATTCAGCTAAAAGCCGAAAACTATTTCTGACTGCGTGCGCTGCCTGCGTTGCTTCTCTTTAAATTTAGCACTAAATCAGGGCATGTTGCAGAGATCCGAGACTGACGGCTGAACTGAACATAAATTTTCAGCCTCAACAGTGTACGATGTGTCTCACTTTGGAGGCTGTCCCATCTCTCTTTGCTTTTTTAAGCCGAAAAACTAAAAAACTTCAACAGAAATAAATAAAAATAATAAAAGAAAAAACAACTTTATGGCGTTGCGGCTGCGCCTACTTCGTTGTCACAATACAGTGAAAAGCGAGAGAAAAATAGAAATTTTCTAATAATTTGTATACGTTCTTCCTTTCTTTTTTTTTTTTTTTTGTTGAGTGCTTGCTGGGCGGTTTCTGCGGCTGGCAACATGAACTCTGACATGGCTGGGTGGGCACACAGCTCGTAATTCTATTTGACAAACGTTCCACAGCCAAAAAGTCAGGCCAAGAGGTTGACAGATGACTGACTGTGGTTAAAGCTATATATATATACAAATATATATTGAAATTTGCCTACTGTCTGCCTATAGCCAAACCGCTTATCATGCAGTAAGAAACGAATATGGTTTCTGAATGGAAACTTATTATCTGAGATCTATATGGCAAGCATATTGTTATATCTAGCTTGATTTACAATACATTAAAAAACTGTAAGAATTTTGTCAATGAAATAATTTTGATTTTTTTGAAAATACCCAAAGATACATTAATTGCCTATGTATTCAATTAATAAAACTACTCATTGAATACATGCAAAAAGTATTATTAAATAGTAAAAATAATATATTATCAATCTAAGCAGAAGGTAAAGAAAATAGTTTGTTAAGATTTTAGAAGCAAAAGCACATTTTTTAGTACTCTCAAACTTTTCACTATCTTCGCCCATCTTAGAGTTTTTGAATAGCATTTTTGGATAATCCTAAATGCGTATTTATACACAAACATATAAATGTTAATTGGCTGCCCGGCCGACCCACCTAGTTTTTCTTATAGCCAGGCGAACAAGCCCATAAAAGGCAAGAGCACAAAAATACATAAGCCCATAGACCCCGACATACCAACACGCCAGCACACGTACTCTACACGACTTTGCGGAGTTCTTCCCTCGGCTACTAAATCGGAGCCCCTCGCAGGGCTGACATAAAAATAGCTGCAGTAGCTCTTATATCTTTTTTATGGCGACACAGGCCAAAGTCATTAAATTGTTATAAACACGATCATTATTAGGCTACTTTCCATGGAAAACTGGGCATTAAATCCAAGAGGTGTCATCTACAATGTATATATTTATTTATACTGACAGCTGAAATTCGAGATTTCCGATCAAATATAAATGCTTGAAAAACGATCTGGCAAATGAATCTTAGCTTAAATAGAAATAAGAAAATGATATTGGCTTCTGTTTTGTTTGCCATGACTAATTTTGCATTATTTTTACCATTCGGTTGCAGTTCTGGGAGATCATATCGGAGGAGCATGGCATTGACAGCAATGGCATCTATGTGGGCGACAGCGATCTGCAGCTGGAACGTGTCAGCGTCTACTATAATGAAGCATCTGGTAAGTGCCCCTTTTATATCCCATGCCTGCTTTCTGGCTGCTGACTCACGCCCATTTGCATTCCAATAGCCGTGAGTCGTACTTCGGGTGGCAAGTATGTGCCACGCGCCATTCTGCTGGATCTGGAGCCAGGCACCATGGAGTCGGTGCGCTCGGGTCCATATGGCCAGCTATTCCGTCCGGACAACTTTGTATTCGGGCAGTCGGGCGCCGGCAACAACTGGGCCAAGGGGCACTATACAGAGGGCGCTGAGCTGGTTGACAATGTGCTCGATGTGGTGCGCAAGGAGTGCGAGAATTGCGACTGTCTGCAGGTAAGTTAAGAGGTCGATTCGGATATCACGTACGACCCCGAAGCAGAAATGATCTAAAGCTTCATTTCTGTTTGCCTTTTCCGTAATCAAAAAACATAAGGCCAATAAAAATCAGATTGATCGATCACTGGAAAGTATTACCCTAAAAGAATATTGATTATGCTGTTATCGATTAAGGTGATATCGATAAATAGATAGAAAGGGATAATGTTAAACTGTTAAACAGTTTTAAATAAGTTACACCGTTATCGATCATATTATTATTATTATCGATAAATTTTTGATGTAAACGATAAATTACCATGCTGCCATCTCTATTTTAGGGCTTTCAACTGACGCATTCGCTGGGCGGCGGCACCGGCTCTGGCATGGGCACCCTGCTCATATCGAAGATACGGGAAGAGTATCCGGATCGCATAATGAACACCTATTCGGTGGTGCCATCGCCAAAGGTGTCTGATACGGTCGTGGAGCCGTACAACGCCACGCTGTCCATCCACCAGCTGGTGGAGAACACGGACGAGACGTACTGCATCGACAATGAGGCACTGTACGACATTTGCTTCCGCACACTGAAGGTATCGAATCCGAGCTACGGCGACCTCAACCATCTCGTCTCTCTGACCATGTCCGGTGTGACCACCTGCCTGCGCTTCCCCGGCCAGCTGAACGCCGATCTGCGCAAGCTGGCTGTGAATATGGTTCCATTCCCGCGTTTGCACTTCTTCATGCCGGGCTTTGCGCCGCTCACCTCGCGCGGATCGCAGCAATATCGCGCCCTTACCGTGCCCGAGCTGACCCAACAGATGTTCGATGCCAAGAACATGATGGCCGCCTGCGATCCGCGTCATGGCCGCTATCTGACTGTGGCCGCCGTCTTCCGTGGCCGCATGTCCATGAAGGAGGTGGACGAGCAAATGCTGGCGGTTCAAAACAAGAACAGCTCCTACTTTGTCGAATGGATACCGAACAATGTGAAGACCGCCGTCTGCGACATACCGCCCAAGGGCCTCAAGATGTCCTCGACATTCATTGGCAACACCACCGCCATTCAGGAGCTGTTCAAGCGCATCTCCGAGCAGTTCTCGGCCATGTTCCGTCGCAAGGCCTTCCTCCATTGGTATACCGGCGAGGGCATGGACGAAATGGAGTTCACCGAGGCGGAGAGCAACATGAACGATCTGGTGTCCGAGTATCAGCAGTATCAGGAGGCCACCGCCGACGATGAATTCGATCCCGATGTTAACCAGGAGGAGGTCGAGGGCGATTGTATTTAATGGTGTGGCCAGAGGAATGAGGTGCGTGCGTGAGCGTCTCCTATTTGGTGGTCAGCCCTTGTTCTTGCGCGGCATGCGACAGCAGCTGCGCGCCAAGCACTGCCAGATACTCTGAGGACGCAGCAACACACAGACACACACACACACACACACACAGATACATACACACAGACACATTTATACAGGAAATGTCAAGCGTAGTTTGACAGCAATCGAAACATCATCAGCCGGAAATGGTCCAAAGCTCTCATTTCATTTCACACACCATTCGCTCAGCTCATTCACTAATCACTCGCTCATTCACTTTGCACTCACTCACTATTCACTTTTCACTATTCACTTCACTCGATTCACCTTCTACTCACTCATTCTTCATTCTACGCTACACTTTACACGGAGGCACGTTTATCGCATTTCTCGCAGCCATTTTCTCTTCTCATTTTCACTCTCTCTCTCTCTCTTTCTCTCTCTGTCTGCCCCGTTTGTGTCCCCTTCACTGCATCTGCTTTGTGCCCGCACTCCCCTCTCACTTAATTAAGTCGCGATTTTATAACATTTTTTACATACATAATTATTTATATACAACAACGTTTAGTAACGTATTTTAATTCAAATATAAAATTTAAAAATATATATCAAAAAAACAAAAAAAACAAAAAAACAAAATATTGCACAATTCTCAAAAAGCAAATACATTTTAAACCATTTCAATTTGCACCGAAGACTGACGGACAGGCATAAGTTTTGGACTCCAGGGCAATATTACGAGTACTTGAAACATCCGAACCCAAAGATCGAACCTTCTGAAAACAAAAATGAAAATCATCTAAAAATCATTTATTATTCATAGGCGCAACAGATCTTGTTGCTGTTTTTGTATTCCTGTGCATAATTCTCTCGTAGTGTTTAAAGTACCCAAGTAATTAACTAATGCTTAACTTGATTAATAATAATAATAATAATAATAATATGCTGCAAAAACGTTTTCAATAAAAATGCAATATGCTCAAAAATAAATTTTATTTCAATTCTATTTTTAAGGGAATGTAATTGGGCAATTATATAGAAAACATCATAAGGTTTGTTTTTGGAATGGAAGACAATTTAGATAATGAATCGAATTTTTGTCTAAATGAAATCAAAGTTTTATTAAATATAAAGATCCATTTAAAATTAAGAATTGTACAACACAGTAGCCAAGTTTTCAACCCAAGCACGCGCGGCGCTGCCACATCGATATAAAAAGGTGGTAGTTTGAATTATGGTCGCTAGGTGTCGCTAGCAATTTATAAAAGTAGCTTCAGCAGTGAAAGCTCTAAGAGCTTTAGGCTGACCAGTTGCGCAGCAAACAGCTGCTTATTTAAATGTACAATTCAAAAACATTTTAACCGCCAATTGTTAAGTCTAAACTGAAAATATTAAGTTAACTCAGTCTATTTTAATATGCAGAATTTACAGTGAGCTGATTTTCAGCAATCGAATTTTTTCAAATTTTTCTAAGATTTACCCATGCATCATTCTAAAAAATATATATATATTTCATTTAATATGTTTCCCGACCACATTCCCTAACCCAATTTTTAATTTCACTCAATTTAAATCATATTTAACATAGCATTGATCTGAATTTTTCGCTACATATTAAAGTTAATTATTTAATACTTTATTTACGAATATATATAGTTTTATATTGTTATTTTATGTTTCTACTCGGTTAACCCTTTAAGACAGATATCAAATGTTAAGTACATCGTTGTTGGGTCTTCAAGAACTCCAAGCTAACCGCACATGCCGAGACCTGCAATATCTGCTGGTAATCTCACAGTCGTATAAACTTTTCCATTAACTAAGTCGCCGGCATATGCCACAAATTCTGCAGAACTCAAAGACATTAAAGACCTGAAAATAGCGACTACCACCCCCTGCCCTACCCCTTCAACAAACTAACGCGTTAGCGGTCTCGTGACACTAAAGAAAACCCCAGAAAGCGCAGTCGCTTGATATCTCCAAGAACATAACAGAACAGAACACAAACACACGCGGAAAAAGATGAAGAAGATGAAGAAGAAGAAGAGGAAGAACCATAACAACCAGAAGCAACAAGAAACCAGTTTGGCAGAAAGAGCCGGCCGGCATTCTGTGTAGACGGGCAACACGTTCTACCGTCTAGACTCTCGACTCTCAAGAGGTTGCCCGGCAACTGCCGAATGTGACCAGTCCGGCCAAAGTGCGTTTAACCGTTATGTCACATGCAATTAAACGAAACCCAAAACAGAGAGCAGGTCACACTGAAGTCATGCGGGAACGGAAGTACGAGCTGAGAATCGCTCTGAGCTGAGAATCCTACTGAATTTGAATTTGTTTTTATTTAATTTCTTGTGATATTTGCGGCCGAGCCGTGCGGAGCTGAGCTGTCAACCAGTTAGTCGCACACAGAAATAGGCAAATGAAAAGGCAATAAAAAAAGTTTGCAATTTACACTCTTTGACGCTGGCCCCGGGCCGCCCGCCTAGCCCCTAACCAGTTGTCCATCCAAATCCAGTCGAACCAGGCAACAAGATGCAAGACAAAACAACGACACGAAATAAATACGTAGACAACAGCCCAAGCAGCGATTGACCCAGTTTTCAAGACGACAACAACAGCAACAACAACAACAACAACAACAACAACGACGACGACGAAAACGACAACGAACGACCGCCGAGCCAACAACCTACGTGCCAAAACGGAGACGGACGAGGCACAGTGGGGCAAGCACTCAATGTCTATATATATTTAACATCCAATTTGATTTTGAATTATCATAACCAATTAAATTATCATCACAGAAATTGTAGATATCAGTTTCTATTTCACAATTGAAATCTATTTTAAAGTCATAAAGTTTATTAAGTTATGCTACAACAAGTAAGAGGTTCTAGTCGGGAGCTTCCGACTAGGAGATACCCTGAACCCTCTTCTTCCAACATAATATGCATATATATATTCTATTTTAGAAGCTATATGTCAAGTTTGGGGACTCTAGCTCTTCTTATTTACCAAAATTGCCCAAAATATAGGATACCGATATCGATTTTTATCGATTACATCTAAAATTTCAAGTCTCTAGCTCTTATAGGTTCTGAGATCCTTGCGTTCATACATACGGACGGACGGAAGGACGGACAGACTGACATGGGTAGATCGACTCGGCTATTGATGCTGATCAAGAATATATATACTTTATGGGGTCGGAGATTCTTCCTTCTGCCTGTTACATACATTTTGACACCCTTTTTTAATGGGTTCAAGGTATATATACCTTGCATATACCCATAAGAGGTTCAGGTTGAGGAATACAAGTATTTCGCTACAACAAAACTAACAAAATTATTTATTCAAAATACATACTCATTATTTGTTATACTTATTTGTTTACTTTTGTTTTATTAGATGAATAAAGAAATGAAGAAAATTAAAAATTAATCTTATATCTTCTAAAAGATTGCAAATTATATATAGATAGTTTACAAATGGTATGTGTCTAAAAGAGATTAATTGGGAAACGAAGTTGATGCAGTGCAAATAAAGGTCGCGCCACTGTGCCACGACATCGCCATGTCTCTATGAAGCGTACAGCGTACCTGTATGCGGCACCGATCCTCAGCTTCACCACACACCAACACATTGACCGAATCCAGCTGGAAACTGTGCTTGCAGCTCGAAGTGCAATGTACTCGACGCTAAATCGAAAGAAAATCTCGTTTTCTGCAATTTGCCGATTCTTCAGAAATAAAGAAAAACGAAACTTGCTTGGTTAGAAGAGTTGCCTGAGCTATGCATGTGCAGTGGTGCCTCTGGTGGGTGGCGGGGTGGTGCGGGTTACCGGCCAAAGAGATGGGCCGAGCTTCAACAGCAGCGGCTGCTGGTGGTGGTGGCTGAGGCACATGCAAACTACACGTCAATGTACTCTGATGTTGATTGTTGTTGTTGCTGTTGTTGTTATACCCTGCATGCATTGAAATTGGTTAGGCAGGGTATAATGGACCTGTGCAAATATAAGGAACTAAAAATATATTTTTGATGAGGACAACGAACTGAACTGATCTGGCCATATACGTCTGATCATCTGTGCGAACGCGTTGATCTTGGATTATAAAAAAAGCTAGCGAAATTTTAATATACATATATACATATATACTCTCGTATGTTCAGTTATAAATTGATTATTGGTTCTTATCAATATCTCTTTCCGTTTCCTTAAGATCGAAAAAAATTAATTTTGTGCCTTGGTTTTCTTTAAGCATGTTAAACTTGGTACGTAGACTCTTGTATAGTATATGAAGATGAGAAATATTTCACTTTTTTAAAATCAGCAAAATAAAACCCGAAGTTATTCAAGAATATATGTTCTAGAGAGCGGAGCTAATGCGTGCCCGATTGGGAGAAGAGGCCCACAAATATTTAACTGCAGGCTCAGGGTACCATCTAGTCGTGCACTCCCGACTAGACTACTCTGTCTTGATGTTGTTGTTGCTAGTTACTGGTTGCTTGGCCAGACCGAGCGCAACGCCTCGACTAGTTTAGATCGGACTGAGACTAGACAACGCTGACTAGACTTGATCTGGGCGCTGTTTTTGTAATATATTTTTGATTTTTTTTTTCTTTTTGCCATCAATTTTTCGCGTTACTCGTATTTTGCTGGCTTGCGGTTTTAGTTCTTTTTTTGGACTGTCTAAAACAACAACAACAACAACTACTACAAGACACATGTACTATATGTAATTACAGGCAGGAAAACCCATAGAGACCCACACACGCCACGGCTGGCCATTGATGCGACCGCACAGCGTGCCCAAACTTCTGCTAAAGACAAAAATACATAACTACCATATATAATGCTTATATATATATATATGTATATACTGATATCTGGCTGGGAGCCAAGCCAAGGCAGAAGACGTTCACTTGCGGCGTTGCCGAATTTCTAGGCAGCAAGTGCTTCACAAAGTGCAGCGGAAGTGACTCAAGTGCAGTTAGTCTCGGGGCTGGGTCTCAGCTGCGCGCTGTTGCCGATTTTCACAAGTTAAGAGCTATTAGCTGTCATAAATAAATGAGATATGGGCTATTTTTTTGGCATAAAGGTGCGAGCCACTTGCCCAGCTGAGTTGAGATTAAAACTCAGGCCAAGGCTGATTTTCATAAGTGTACAGAAAATACTGTTCAACAT